AGCCTGTAGCACCTCCTCAGCTCTCTCAGCCTCTCTCAGCGCCTCACTGAGATTTCGGGGTGACAGTAGGCGGACATGTTGGCGGAGCCGCTCGGTGTAAGACCCCGCAGGAAAGCGTGGAGGCTCAGCTCTTCCCTCGCTGCGGCCTGGAAGGTAGGGTAGCCCTTTCGGGTGTAAACCCGGATGTCAGCTGCGAAAGCGCCCACACTCTCTCCTTCACATCGACGTCGGTTAGCTAGTTCCTCCCTGCTCTGTTCAGCGGAGGTTCTCTGCCCGAAGCGGCGGTTGAGAGCAGCAGTGAGGGCCTGGAGATCACGCCGCTCCTCAGGAGACAGATCGATAAGGACCTGGAGTGCGGGACCCTCCAAGGCGAGGGCCAAATGAATCACCGTCTCCTCACAGCTCCATCCATCGTGGAGGGCGGCCAGGTCGACTTGTGCCAGGTAGGGTTCCAGGGGTGTCAACCCGCTATATCGTGGTAGCTTAGCGGGCGAACGTGTGAGGGCGCCGGGCTGGCCACTAATTTGGAGTGTCGGTGAGACGACTGGAAGTTCGTTCTGTCGGGGACCAGGAGCGTGGTACATGGCTCGGTGAATGCTGGCGCCGTCAGGCTGGTGCGGAGCCCTGCTCCTCCTCGGCGTCTTGCTCGTCAGACGCTCTAGCATGATGCTGTTCTCATGGATGGCACGCTCTAATTCGCCTATGCTTTGCTCCATAACGCCGTCTTTTAAACGACTTTTAAAATCCCACTTCTGACACCACTGTAATAACTGGTAGCTATCCAAATGAAACGTGAGTCTAACCGGAGCTAAATTAGGCTAATAACACTTTTACTAAGCTAAATCCTAAAATGAGATAAGAACACTCATGTCCCATACACCGCACTACCCAGAGTGTTTACACATCAACCAACAGGAGGCAGTAACACCGTTTTTCCACTTTTAATGCAGAACAAAGAAAGAACTACTCAGGCAGGGCCCTATTGCCTTACACATCTCTCTCAACAACGGTGAGGGACACATTTTTACATTAGGCAGTAAATGAACCAAGAACATCTGATCAACTTGAACATTACACACATAACTTTACTATAACAACAACTTAAAGATCTTGCTGTAATAACACATAAATCAACTCTCAATAAACAATTACCCGTAATGCACCCAGCTGCTAGCGCTGACTGCCAGGTCATTACAATATATATATATATATATATATATATGAAGAGTTCAGATGCAAAAGCCTCTAAGTGCCATTTGAAATTTTCTTCTAGAATGATCATTTTTATCAAGCTTGCATATTTAAGTTCAGTAATTTCACTTAAATGACAATTCATATGTAATCTTCATTCCCATTTAAGTCAAATTAATTAACTTAAATATACTAGCTTGATAAAAATGATCATTCTAGAAGAAAATTTCAAATGGCACTTAGAGGCTTTTGCATCTGAACTCTTCATATATATAGGCAGCGGCTATATATAACACTGATATAAATGATCACCCGGATATAGACATATTATGTTTATATAAAGCGTTCACAGGCAAATTTGCTTTATGTTTAGGTCTTGCTTTTATTTCCCGGTGTCGAAATCAGGCAAACATAAATGTCAGGCAACACGATTCCTGGCTGCATGTCAATATCCATGGATCACTGGATCTTTAGTAAGTTGTAAGGAACACTATATTAAGTCCACCATTTAGTTTAAATTGATAAAATTGTTCGATTTAGTCGCATTTTCCCCTATTAAATCCAGTCACGCAGCAGATCTTTTGCCACTCGGTCAGGCTGAGGGGGGATGTCACGCGGGAAAGTCACGTGTCAATGCATTCCCTCTATTAAAACCCATGTTAAAACCCATGTTAAATGATGTAAACGCCATCCTCACGAGTCATGAGAAAAATGCTATCTCTCAAAAAGTACACTATTGCGCTGCAATAAAAGACTTCCCGTTTCACCTCCGTTTATAAAGCCGCGATCTAATCCTGTTAACCTGAAATAAGCCTGCTCGCGAGCAGGTTCAAGCTAGCGCACCTGTTGCTATGACAGCAAGTCAAGGATGAGCGTCGAAGAACCAAACGATCCAACATTAACTCGTGTTTTTTTTTTGTAATCTCTGGTCACGTTTCATTTTACAATCTATTTTTGGACTTCTCTGGCGATGAGGCTTTACAATGCAGGCTTTTAAATTTGCCGGGCGTATTGAAGCTCCTCTCACTGCTCTGCTCCTCCGCTTCTTCTGCGTTCAGTCAAGTCACGTCGAGTTGGCGTACTTTATATCCCTCTCTGCTATTATAGTTTTTCAAGATGGCGGAATGACATGGAAGCCTCCGTGGACTTACCCGTCCCATGAAGATAATGAATTCTTCATTTACGAGGATAAGTCAGATAATTAGCAAGGGGTATTTGTACACCACTGAGGACATATTTATGAATAAAATGTTGATTTTAAATAATAAATTACATAAAACGTTACACATGGTGGTCCCTTTAAAAAGAGAACCTCAGATCATTTGTCAGACTCAGTATATACAGTTGAGCTAATGGCCATATTGATGGCATTGCAGTGAATAGACAACGCATTCTCACCCCAAGGCGTCACCTTTGACCATGCTTCAATATTTGACGTTTTAGGCGCCCTTTAGCGTCACTTACATGACGCGATCCTACGGCGTCATCTAACTGACGCTAAAGGAAAGCGTCAGTTAGAGGACGCGGTTAGGTTTAGGTGTGGGGTGGGGGTAGGGTACACGCGATCCTAGGGCGTCATCTAACTGACGCTAAAGGGCGCCTAAAGCGTCATATTGAAGCATGTCCAAATGCTTCCCAAGGCGTCAGTTAAGTGACGCCTTGGGGGTGAGAATGGGCTGGGATAGAAGGAAATAAGGAAGGCAAGGTGGTCATTGCATCAGATAGCTGGGCAGCGCTCAATAGTATTAAATCTGTTAAATCCTGTAGTTTAGATCTGGTATTTAGTATTCGCTATATACATAGATTTATATCATAAGGGTTGGACTGTCTGCTTCGTTTGGGTTCCTGCCCATGTAGGTGTAGAAGGAAATGAAGATGATGATATTCTGGCAAAACAAGCACTCAGATCAAAGTCGGTTGATATACAGGTTCTGCTAATGCCGAGTTCAGACTGCATGATTTTAGCCACGATTTTGGCTCGCCGACAGGTTTTGAGAAATCGCCGACAAATGCCCGAAATCACAGGCAAATCGGCGCTCGTTCACGCGAGTGACAATCACGCAGTGTGAATGAACAAAGACGCGAACTGAGAGAATCACCGACGAGTCGCCGACGCCCGTGAGATATTTGGCATGCTAAATATCTGGACCTGTCGGCGATTCAAAATCCTGCTGTGTGAAAAGTGTTTTGACTGAAAACTACATCGGCGATCACCGGCAGCCAGTGAGAGAGCAAGATACAGAGCAGCAGGGAGTTCGGGGAGGAGTTATAGATCACATATCAACATGATATGGCATTGTTTCAACAAAAAAAGCTTCTTCTCGGTCTATTTGGACACAATAAATGGAAGAAAAATTAGTAGAAATTTGGCAGGAGCACTCGTGTCTGTTTCACCAGCTGTACCACAACCGGGTCGAAAAAAAAAGTCTCACGTGAGAACTCCGGTCTTGCACGTGTGGTGTCGCGCGTTGTTTCCTTTTCATATCTCACGCGTGTTTGTTGTGAAATGTAGTTTGCGTGCAGCGTGCTAGACAGAGTCTGTCGGCGATTTTTCTAAAGTCATGCAGTGTGAAACCTTCTGTCGCCGATCCATCGTCCAGTGTGAACACAGCAGCGACTGAATGCTGGCCAAGATAGTCATGCAGTGTGAAAAGAGCAGCGACCTGACTACTTTGAAAATCGTGCAGTCTGAAAGAGCCATAAGTAAATCTGAAGCTAAAACGGTCATTAAAGAGAAAATGCAAAAAATATGGCAAGAATACTGGGAAATAAATGAAACTGGAAGACATCTTTATAATATACAGAAACATGTTGGCCTGGGAAGAAAACTGGGTGCTGAAAGACAGAGACAGTCTTTACGCGCTTAAGAATAGGAGACAGGTCTTAACTATTCACTTTATAAAATAGATAAACACCCAACTGGACAATGTACAAAATGTAATAGTATAGAGACCTGTTTGAGTGTAGAGGTTATGTGGAGGCAAGGAGGAAACTAGCAGCAGCTGTAAAGAAAGCTAAGTTCACTGTTGAGAATCTCCTTGGGGATAAAGCATGGGGAATATCAAAACACCTCATTAAATATCTGAAAAATACGGGGATAATGGAAAGGATATAGGTTTAACCCTAAAACCGTATTCTGGACAAATGTGGGAAAAATAGTTTTGATTTATTTTTTTTAAAAAGCCTACTACCCTTGATCTGAGCAGTTACAAGACTTGACTACTTTTCCTAAGTTTGCCTCCTGAACACACACAATTTTTTTTTTTACTCAATTCTTCACTGTTAAGTGGGTGAAAAAAAACCCCTCCTTAATCTTGTATTTGGGTCAAAAATGGGCACCCATAGAAATTAATGGGAAAAACTGTAAATTACAGCATTCTAAAATAAGCCAAAATAAGACACCAGGTGACAGCAAGTCACTTCATCTTTAGGTTTAGCTCTAAGAACTTATTGGAATGATATTTTAATGTTATTAAAAAACCATTAAAAAATAAGCATAATTTACATAGAAAATATGGTACTTTTTGAAGTAAATAAATTCAAAAATACCCCCAAAATAAAAATAAAAAAACACCATAAATGGATAGACAAAAATTTATCGAAGAAAGTGATATAACATTTATAATAAATAAAAATTAGGATCACACCTGAGTGCCCACATTTGTCCAAAATTACAGGATTAAGGGCTATGTTTGAGGGCTACTTTTGTCTGTTTTTTATTTTATTTTATGTTAGTCTGCACAAAATCTGTTCCAGTCCGGTAGGTGGCGGTAATGCTCCTAAATGCTGGTTGCCAACCGCCAATCAAATCAAGGAAGAAGAAAGAAGTATCCGCCGAACCGTTTCTCAGATTCAAACAAATCACTCCTCCGTCAAGAGTTTGAAATTAGTTTCACGCATAGAAGATCTACTTTGTTGCGAAATCATTATTGAATTACTTCTCGTTACTATTTATTTTGACATGGTTAATTATTGCATGGTACCGGGATGTTCAGTCCGAACCAGGAAAAGACAAAAAGTAAGTTTTCATGCCCTACCGAGAGATGTGGAGCGATGCAAACAGTGGCTAAGAGCGATTAACCATCCGATATATTTACCAGACACAGCCATGGAAGACCTAAAAAACAAGAAGGTTTGCAGTCTACATTTCAAAAAGGAAGACTTTGAATTAAATGTCCTGGGAATGAAGAGAGTCGCCCTTTTGAATACCGCAATTCCGTCGGTGTTTACCTTTCCAGAGGACGAGGACCAGCCTGAAGCATCTGGCTCTAGCAGCGCTAAACGCACTCGCTTGGAGGTAACTTAGGAGTTGCTCAGATACAGTCGTCTGCGGTAAAGTACAACATCACAAATGAGTTAGTAGTATAAATTGGCTGTTTACGAAGTAAATTAGCCGTCTTCCGCATGTTTTTATTGCTAGTGGTAAGTTAATGTGTCGTCATCACTAAATATCCACTCGCCTACAGTGAAGAAGCAAATTAGCAATGTAACGTTTGAAAGACGCTAGAAATGTTCTATATAATTTTGCTGCTATCGATGTAAATCAACCATGACCATGTTTGACGTTAGACGTTATTGTTATGTTTTTAACGTTATTGAATGTATGACATTTCAGACTCAAACAGTGTCTGCTCCTGCTTTGGTGTCGTCGGAAAATGGTGAACAATCTCTTATAACCTCACCACCAGTCAAGAAACTTACCCCTGTCCAAACAGCAGTGGTTGTAAGTGTGGACAGCATACTCTAATGTAATTCTAAAACGAATGTGTAATTTAACATTGAAAATAAACCTTTTTTGATTTTACAGTCACCATGCCCGAGTGCCAGCAGCATTGAAGTTTGTCCGGTCGATGAAAGCAATCAGCCTGAGTCAACCAACCCCCCCACATCATCCTCCTCATCATCATCAGAAGAAGAAGAAGAAGAAGGTGGTGTACAGGACAGGCATGAAAAGAAGATCATTGTTAAGAAATCAAGCTTCGCGTCAATATTCAAATTCTGCCAGACGTGCGGGAAACCAAATACTTTCTAAGGTCGTCTTTGATTCTGGGGCACAGGGGAAGGAGAATTGGATTTGTCTTGGGGGCCATGTGGGGACTTGGACATCTTCAGCTGATCTTAGAGGAATGCCGGGGGTGAATCTCCTTTTTTGCGGCAGCTGTTCTATTCAAGGTTGGAACATGCAAAGAACTGTCAGATTGGTGCAAAACCATGGGTCTCTAAATGATTGGACAAACTATATTTTACACCATCCAGAACATGTATTTGGACCCTGCTGTTGAGAACTTTTATGAAGAAAGAGCTAGGGATGCTCCGATACCATATTTTTCACAACTGATCCGATACCAAAAAATCTTGAGTATCGACTGATACCGATCCGTCACCAGTGCAGTGCAGTTTTTTTTTTTAATCAAGTAGAATTTCTATGATAACTCTGATAATCACTCTTTTGTGTGTTAAACACAATCTACTTAACACAGACAACTTCATTATAAAGATAAACAACAAATCCAAAAAATATATGATCATAATCTATGACAAAAATGCTATTATAAACTAGATTAGTGGATAATACACATTGCTCTTTGTATTGTTGTAAAATACATTAATGAAAAACAAGGTAACAAAAATCAAAAAGAAATTATTTTAGATATAGCCATGGCTACTAAAAAATTGAGACAACAAGTTTTGAATGAATAGCACAGATGTTTAATGAGGCAACAACATATAATAGATAGGACAGAACAAGAAAGGCTATTAATAATGTCATTCCGTCACTGCATTATGATATGAAAGGCTCCAATACAGTGCGACACAAAGCGCTTATGCGCATCCCGAGCGGAGAATGATGCGCTTGAAGTCACATGGAGTTGAACGAAGATGAACGAAGGTCTTACGGGGTTGGAACAACATGAGGGTGAGTAAATACTACCAGAATTTTCATTTTTGGGTGAACTAACCCTTTAACAATAACATAGAATAGTATACACACAATATCGGATTTGGATCGGCCTCATCTGATCGATACCCAATCCGGCAAAAATGGCAGTATCGGAGCCGATACCGATCCTGAGTATCGGATCGGCGCATCCCTAGAAAGAACAGAAATCTTGGCAAGAGTTTCTTTGGAACAGGAGGATGGGAAGAGGTCACACGTGGCGAGTGATGGCCGATGTGACTCGCCAGGTTTCAATGCGAAAAACTGTCACTAAACGTTCATGTTGGACGATACAAAGGAGATAATACACTCAGATCTGGTGCAGGTAAGATACATAAATGGATACAGAATAACAAGAATGGAAAATTACTGCTAATATGTTGAAAGCTTAGATAACATCAAAGCTCTTAAACTATAATCTTTAGTCTACAGAGGCCATTAGCTTTGGAGCCACTGGGTTTTAGACGGGGAATGAAGGAGCTTCTGGACTTTGGCCTTGATGTGGAGGTGATGACTGCGGACCGCTCTTTATCAATAAGGAAGGCAATGAGGGAACAATAGCCTAATATCCAACACCAATTTGTCATCTGGCACACAGCCAAAGGTATGTATAGAGATGCACCGATTTCCAATTTTCCTTGAGTTTGACTATGCCGATTCTGATTTTATTTTTATTAATAACACAAATATTTATTTTCTATATATTTTTTATTTATAAAACACCATATAATTTTACCCAAACTGAATATTAATGTAGGATTACAATTTTTATTTAAATGTTTAATTTAGGTTCTAGTACAATAGTATATAAACTGAGAACGTCTAGTAGACTGAATTTTTTGACATTTGAGGTATAAATGAGCAAGAGATTCTGCCAGTCCAGGGGCCTCATGTATAAAACTTTGCGTATATTTCATCCTTAAAGTGTGCTTACGGTTTCAGATTTATACAACCGTACGTACGCCTGAACCTACGCAAAATTCACTTTATAAATCCCAGTCAGCGGAAGAATGCGCTCCCCAAAATATCCATAAATGGAGATTACAACGCCTAGTTTTACTATGAATATCCTCATCTGCATATCATTTGCATTATCCACGTGATACCATGTTTAACGGTACAAGACGTTAGTAAAATATGAAATGCGGATGTGCCGTCACATTATTACAAACAATTTTTTTTTTAGTAGCCTAGTTTTTGAATAAATAAATCAAATAGTGTAATAATATTTCAGTAAGTCATCAAAACATTGGTCTCGTATGGCAGAGAAAAAAAGAGACGCTCTTGCCACAAGCACTTAAAACGATGCCTCATACAGTATCTCGTGAAATGTCTTCAAAAACGGATTTATTTCTGTAACAACCCTGCATTTTTGCCTGCACTCTTCACCCCAAACACTCAAAAGACATGAAACGTCCGCATTGCTCCACTGTGTGTATCCTTTCGCGCCTATAATCGCACACTTTTTAATGACGTACGACTCGCTTTACCGGGGAATATCCGATTTGTCTGCTTACATGGCACGTATCCGATTCATATACGATTTATTACCACATATGAAAGAGGCCTGAATCCGATCTGAGAAAATCAGAATCCATGCGTTTTTTTCCTGCTTACACGTTCACTGGTCATATCCGATCTGTGCCACATGAGAGGAAAAAAACGGATTTGGGTCACTTGTACCATGCAGTGTAAACGAGGCCTTTAACTCCAACTCTGAACGAACTCTCTACTGTAAACAGGAAAATGTTTGCGTTATTTTGTCACTTATTTGGATTAGTATACTAGCTGCAACCATTTACATCCAGTCTTTGTGCTAAGCTAGGCTAGCGGTGGGTGCGTCAAACAGACTTATAGCACGCACGGAGATGAAAAAGGTAGGGCTATAGTCAACCAAAGAAATCCTTAGTTGACCAAAGTCTTGTCCTGCGCAACGATTAGTCGACTAAAAAAAAACAAAACGTGGTGTTTTGATTAAACATTTTTTAAACAATTGTCATTGAGCATTTATAAAACAACAACGAAAAAACATCATAAATAAATAAAACTATAATAACAATACAATTCTTTGAAAATTAAGTGATTTTTTTTAACTGCAAAAAGTGTGAGGAGCTCTGTCCTAGGTCTATAGTAACAGTCACAATCGCGCACCTGACCACACCACTCGCTACAAAAATATAACTGCTATCTGCCACATAATGAAAAATCCTAACAAAAGCTCTCGTTTATACAGGCTTTATATTCTTCTTTACTTTCAAAGCTATGGGTTAACTTTCGTCCTGACGATCAAGGCGTTTTAAAACAACACAAAAAACCCAAATAGCCTAAAAACAATCCTAATAATAGGCTGTATTATAGGACCGTGTATAGGTTTATTTTCGTTTTGTTGCATTATTTGGGCTATTTTCAAATGCGTCAAGTGTGCAAATAAAAACGAAAACATTAAGAAAACACAATCTATTGAGTCAGCATGATAAAGCAGGTAAAAGGCTGCTCACGTCTTTTGCGCGCTCGACAAAATACTCGACAACAAAGATATTTGTCGACAATTTTTTTTATTGTCGTTGCAGCCCTATTCCAGACGATGAATAAGGGTCTTATCAAGCGAAATGATCGCTCATTTAATAAATAAAATAACAAAATTTAAGTTTTATAAGCTCAAATGCTCGCCTTGCTCTGTACTGTGATGCGCGTTCGTGACTCTCTTGTTCGAACTCGTTCATCAAAATGAACGAATCTTTTTTTTGAGTCATTTGGTTTATTCAACGAACGGAATGAACAAATTGATTCGTTTGTGAAAAAAGATTCGTTTGTGATTGAAAGATTGTTTATACTACTCTTTATTGTCAGAACATATGACAAATAGGTGAACATTTCACAAATCTCAGGTTGAACATTCAAACATTTGTCATTTTTCCTTAACAAAACAAATATCTTTATAGAAACATTCAATTTAATAGTTTCTGCATGTGCTAATGGGGGATATTATTTTCAAGTCTTGAAACAGGTTTGTGTTACCTTTCTGTGATGGTCAGGCAACAATATTAATAAATTATTATTAATCATGCAATACATGTTTTGTCTCAAAATGCATCTTTGACAGCGAGTTGACAGTACTAGGGCTGCAATGATTAGTCGACATTGTCATCACGGGAGATTTGTAACTAATTTGCGGTATAACTAGTGGCTCAAGAGGTAGATCAATAGATAAACTCATCTTTCAGGCATTTGACCGACCCATAGCTGTCAACCATCCCCAAAATAAGGTGTTTTTTTTTTTCTTCTCATGATTCTTACTCTCAAACTTTAAAATAAAGCACTAATCATTAAAAGTCTAAAGAGGTTATAACTAGCCTACATATATGTGTGTGAGAAAGAGCACTGTGTCATTAAAAAAAATACCATAGAGAATGTTTAAATCCTAATATCAGCTTACGAGGGAAACGGGGAGGCTGCTTCTTCCAGAGATGATTGGGAGAGGTCTCTCTGCACCTAGCGATCAGAGCGCGCGCCGACATGGAATAAAGCCTTGTTTATACTCGACGCGTCTGCACGAGCGCGGTAAAAATGACGCGTTGGGTGCGCAAGACCTCACTTCGAGCTGTGTGCAAAGCTATTTTGTAACAGCGAGCGATCAGAGTGTAAAAATACGGGATATTTTACGGGAAATACTAACACGGAAAGACGGTAAAAGAGCTAAAATGCGTGATAAATCCGGAAAAAACGGGAGGGTTGACACTTCAGTGTGAGAAATCGGGGGTGTGGCATGTGAGCGTGTGAAAACAATCAAATGCGGGTGTCTCACGGCCAATGCGTGATAGTTGGCAGCTATGTTAATAAAAATGATGTTATTTCAGCCAGCACACATACCTCTATTCCTGTGTTCGGTCGAAGCCCACAGTAGTCGATTGGCGATCTCACGCGTGCTATCATTGGTGAATATCATCTCAAACCTTCTCTGTGTGTTCAACATTTGATTCGAATGAACTATCCATTTGAGCTGATATTCTCAGAACACCACAGAGTGTTGGGTTTGAGATGATCTTCACCAATGATCCATCCTCTTTTCCTCTTTGTAATTGCACACAGGGCCACTGGAGAACTTTCATAGTGCTGTGCTGAAATACCTCCCCAAGCGGCAGGCCTTCTCATGCCATGGAATGAGCGAGAGGTCCCACCTCGCCATCCTCGACCATAACAAAAACATTGTGAAAGGGAAACAAGCCACCACAGTAACCGGTTTGTTACCATGTACGCTCTTTAAATATTATAATACCGGTAACCAAAGTTAGAATGTTTAAGGGCTAGTTCACCCCAAAATGAAAACTCTGTCAGTAATTGCTCTCCCTCATGTTGTTCAACCCCGTAAGACTTTCGTTCATCTTCGGAACACAAATGAAGATATTTTTTTATTAAAATCTTAGAGCTGGATCACTTGCGATCGAAACTTGCCGGCCCAGAAAAGTTAGTTAAGATATTGTTAAAATAGTCCAAGTTTATCAAGCGACGAGAATACTTTTTGTGTGCAAAAAAAGAAACGAAAGACTATTAATTTCCTTCTTTGTGGGCCTCAAGATAGTTCATGTAGTGCAACAGCCAGGGGCGTCACTAGGATTTTCATTTTAGGGAGCTAAGCCCCCAATGAGGGTAATGCTCACTATTAACTAGGGCAGGACCAGAATATTCGAATATTTTTTTTCGATGGGTTGGTATTCGATTTGAAAATGTGATATTCTAATTATTTATTTATTTATTTTTTGCACACCTAGCATCCCAATCGAAACGGTTCTCATTCGCGCTTGAATATGTTTTACAGTATAAAATCTGGTGAAATATAATACTTAACATATAACTTCGTTATAGCTACTTAATAAATATTTGCTTCTTCTTGGACTACTAAAAGTGTTCCTGCAACGGGAGTATTCGCCGGCTAGAGTGCAGAACAGTGGTGTGTGTGGACAGAAGTGCATGCCTGAGCTAGGGATCGACCGATATGGATTTTTTAGTGCCGATACCGATTTTTTTCCTATCAGCCTTAGCCAATGACCGATACGGGCTGCCAATTTTCTTGAGCCGATATTTGGAGCCGCTACATTTTGCTCCCTCAATTTACATCATAAAAATGGCATGATGTTAACAAATGTTACAGGTCTCAATTTAATAAAAGTAACATTTATTTAACTTCAAAAATTAATATTTAACAAATATTAAAAACATGAGGTAGAACAAAAAAAGTTCAGTGCTGAAAATAAATATTTAAGCATAAATTAAATAATTACACTATTGCACACAGTAGCAACCAGCATAATAACCCTTTATGACCTGCCATAGAACAGTTCCACCAGAGTATATCTTTCTATTTTTACATGCTGTGCATGATGACATCTCTCTCTCCAAATAGGCTTAATAATTTTATTAGCACTAGATAAATTAAAGTGTATTGCATAGTCGATTTTATATGTCACTTTTAAAATCATGTCATATTTTATAATTATATCCTGGCCAAGGATGCATTAATTATTGCTTCTGTCTTTCAAAGATGTCAGGAAAAAAACAATTATAAAAAAGCTCATTCACCCTGAGAGGAAAGCCCCCTAAAAAGGCCAGTTTAGAGGATAATTTGCTAATCTTTTTGCAAAAAAAAAAAAAAAAAACCCACAAAAATCGTATATTAATTTGTAAAAATTATATATATATATATATATATATATATATATATATATACATACATACATACTGTATATTCAATGTAAAAAAATAAAATGGAAATTCAAATACAGACTGATATATGTAATGCAAATGTAAAAATATAATGGAAATGCAAATTGTTGGATAATTATAAACATGGTATTTTGCTTATTTATGCCTTCAGTGCAGTGCAGAAAATGATAAGGTCTAAATGTAACTGGCCCCTCTAACAGTACAACTGGCCCCCTGCCCCCCAGTTGAAATGGTCTAGAACCGCCACTGTGTGTGTGAGAGAGAGAGAGAGAGAGAGAGAGAGAGAGAGAGAGAGAGAGAGAGAGAGAGAGAGAGAGAGAGAGAGAGAGAGAGAAATGTAACAAAGTTTAATATTGTTTGTAAACTGTGTTTGAGAGAGAGGAAGGTGTTCAGAGAGTCTGTAGGATGTTAAGCTGTTATTTGTTTTATGGACTCAATGTTGAAAATTTAAAACATTTCAAACACACTGTTGGCAGAAGTGAAAAATAAATAATTTTATGAAGTTACAATTTTGTTTGATTCCATGGTGTATTTTACTGAACATGAGTATTTACAATGCAAATTATTGTAATTTACTGGCAAATACTTATCTTGTCTTTTCATTTTATTAAGATCAGATTCTGCATGTAAAATTAAAATAATAAGGTGACTTGACTTGCACTTGACTTAACCTACTACAAGACTTGACTTGACATAGCCTGTGACTTGACTTGACTTGACATCTGATGTATGTCATTCTTTTGAGCATTTTCATATGCCATACATCAAAATAATCCTTACTTTCTCTACTTGAAGGCTATGTTTGTAATAAATCAATAGTACCTAGATAAATATCTCAAAAATGCAATAAACAAAAAGAAAAACAATTTAAAAAAAAAAATTCTACATATTTTATTCAATACAAAAAAAATGATAAATATAAACCTCAAACTTGTCAATGAGAAAAATGTGCATAAAACAGTTTAAAACTATACAGAATTGATTTGAACTGTTTACATCACTTAGTTTTTAAGATACACTCATTTAAAAAAAGGGAGTAAAATGCCATATGTAAAATATTCAATTACATTTGTGGTCAAACAGATAACATTCTGCTTTTGAATATTGATTAAACATTGAATTGGTTAGAATATAAATTAAATAGACCCTCTCAGAACAATTAATAATAAAATAAATATAAAATAAATAAATAAAGGCGATTAGCAGACGGAACTCGGTGCGTCCGCGTACTTTCATTTTGACATAACGTTGCGCGCACGTGTGTGTGTGTGGGGGGGGGGGGTGAATGTGCTTGTATTTGCGAGTGTATAAAAGAGAAAGAAATGATAGAATGAAGCAATGGTAAAAAGACAACAATGATAAGAAGGAACATATAGCAGATGGGAGTCAAGTGCGAGTCAAACCTATTAGGCTATATTCAGTCAAACGCATGGCCAAAAGACGCTGCTTCTGACGTCACTATATGCGACACAAGCTGGGGTCAAAGTGCACAGGAAGTGATGTCGTGATCCGTCCATGGATCCGTCATCGGAAGACGCAACTATCAATTGCGGATCTATAGCACATGTGTGCAAAGACGTGCAATGCATTTTTGTGTGTTTTTTTGGAAACGCGCATTATTACAGACTCATTAGAGGGTGGAAACCGCGCAACATGAGCATGTTGAGGCTTGATCTGCCATGTGCACCGAACGTGATACCTCAATGCGCCATCGGAAGGCGTTACTATCAATCGCAGATCTACAGATCATGTGTGCAAAGACGTGCAATGCATTTTTGTGATTTTTTTTGAGAAACGCATTTTGCGCATTTTGTACAGACTCATTAGAGGGTGAAAACAACGCAACATGCGCATGTTGGAGGCTTGATCTGACCATTTTACATCTCTGGTTTTGTATGCAAAAAGAATGATTGAGCTAGCCACTTGGTTTCAGTTTCTGTAGGCTGTTAAACAGACACACGCAAACCGGAGCGCCGACGCTCCCGTCGGTCTTAAAGGGATAAAGTGCACAGTGCACATTTTACTTCATTTTAAAAGAAACAAACTATGTACTGCCATGGTTTCTTTTTTTCTACATAAAATAAAATGAGCATGTCTAGTCTGTAATATCACTGCGATGGCGAGGGAGACGCACCACACGCGCCCAAACCTCAGGTGGGCGCTGAATAAATCTCCCACAAAAAGCACAGAATAACGTTGGCATTACTTAATCCTATGACCAGTGTTCGTTACGGCACCCGTATGCATACTAGGGCTGTCAAAATTGCTCAAATGGCGTTCACATATTCCCTCTAAAAAACATTCGAACATCCCGTTGCGCATTTTGTTATTGACGCGCATTACGTCAATAACAGGACATATTAATACAAAGAGACATAACTACTAGTATTAGATAGTTTATTTGAGTTTAAACATATTTGACAACTTAAAAAGCAAGTAAATCACCACAGAGCTCACTCTGTCTCGCCCCGGACCCACTCTTTCTTTCTCTCTCTCTCGCCCACTCTCTCGTTTTGTGCAAGCAATTTAAGGTTGCGAGTCGCGACTCTTGTCCCAAATATAGCAGTCTTCATTCAGTGATTGAAGTTTCACAGTATAGAACCGACAGTGAGCTCTCCGAGCGAGCTGTGCAGCTGTGGTAACGTTATTAGTCTGCAACCGCGGGCGTGTTTTTCCACATTCAAATATTAATTTTCACCTTCAAAATTAATACATATTCGAATTTAGAATATTCATAGACAGCCCTAATGCATACTGACTGGATAGCCTACACCTTATCTATTTGATTGCAGCTCCCTAATACAATGGCAAGCAGTTAAGTTTTATAGACGAGGCATTCGCGTTTTCCATTTGGATCCACAAACTTGCTTAGCTATATAGTTGCAAGCACATAACAGTTATAGGGCGACGTGTTTCCATTTTCAAAGTGTTTGACAATATTCTCAGCAGTCAAACATTTAAAAGATGCTTTAAAAGCTTAAGTTACCATTCTTGTAAAGAGCAGGTTGCACTCTGCTTTTGGAGGAAGGTGGGGCACGTGAACTGCAGTCTCCAGCAGCACAGAGCTACCCGTGAACGCCTGTCCATAAATAACGGCGGGGAAAAAAACTATCGGCGTAGTTAAAAAAACTATCTAGTAATAAACTATTTTAAGTTAAAATATATTTTATCAACATGACATTTTAAAAACAAACAAAAAAATGACAGTATATAAAAATAATAATGCAATTGTGTTTGTATTTTGCCTTTTTCAGAAACTGAGAAAATAAAAGTGTGGACTAGTTTATTAGCTTTATTTTGTCACTTCGCAAACTGCATGCAAAAAGAACAAACAAAATTGAAAAAGAATAATAATAATCTCAGGGTTTTCCTGGCTCACAACGAAGCGGAGGTGGTAAAATCCTAATAATGTTTGTATTTTAGGTATTTTTATAATGATAATGCTATTTTGTATTTTTCGAAAACTATCATAAAGCTACTGTGTTTCCCACAGTATTATGTGTGTCGTGTGGACCTCTGCACCCAGGGGGTAAAGTAAAGAAAAGTTTGCACGTTTTAAAGATAAATTCATAAATCTTGTGCACTTTGAAAGTTCAAAATTAATTGATTAACTAATTTAGTGTCTAAAATGAGCCTGTTCTGTAGTAGGCTACACATATTTTCTGAGCCACAGACGGAGAGCGCTCACCGCTTGACATCAAAACTATTCAGCCACATAATGTTTTCAACCACATAATGTTTATTTTAGGTTTCAGACATTTAAATCCACATAAGTAAGTTACTAAAAAAGCAATACATTTAGAGTTTGTCAAATACTTATGTCTATGGAAGCGGCAATAATAATTATTTCCGTTATAATTAGACAACACGTTATTCTTATCAAATACACATCGTGTAAGTAACTTTCAAGTTTACTCTATGCTTCTCCCAGTTCACCGGCCACTTGCTTTCATGGGAGAAGTGGATAATTTGACGTTTGTTAAATCCAACAGATCCGATTCTCTAAAATGCAGTATAAACTAACACCCATCGCGTATAGCTTAGATAAGGTGTTAAACGACAATACACATCCACTTACTCATATTCGACAATCGGAATATATGATATTTCCTGCTATAGTTAACAAATTTGTGAAATAAACGCAGATAATCAGTCATTCAGCGCTATTGTGGCTGCGTTGTGACCATACTTTCTATGGGTGTGACGAGCAATGACGCGCCACCATGGAAACCATAACGGGAGACGATCTAAATAACGGGCGCCTCTAAAAACTTTTAAACTTGCGCGTGAAATGGTTAAGTAAGGCTTACATTTAAATGTGTCATCGTTTTGTTTTGAGTTTATGCTCGATAAATAAAGGAACTAATAGAGTTGGGCACAAAATTACCACATTTTCTCCCATTTGTTGCGCCCCACCTGTCATGTTTCTATTCCCCACCAGTGGGGCATGCCCTACACTTTGAGAAACGCTGCACTACGTGAACTCACTCGGGGCTCACAGAGAAGGAAATAAAGAGTTGAATAGTCCTTTATTTTGTTTGTTTGCAAGTTTCAATTCCTCAGAAGCCTATGGAGGAGTGATCCAGCTCTCAGATTTAATCAAAAATATCTTCATTTGTGTTGCGAAGTTGAACGGAAGTCTTACGGCGTTGCAACAACATGAGGGAGAGTAATTACTGAGAGAATTTTCATTTTGGGGTGAACTATCCTTTTAACATCTAACTGAATTGGCATACTTTGCTGAAAGGTGGAATATAACTATTGGGGAGAGTCTACTACAATCAAATCTTAATTTATATTTTCTGTGTTATATTCCTTGTCATTTACAGGAGAAGCACGGTTCAACCAAGTGTACTCAAGAAGTCTAAGCAATGGTTATTAAAAAAAGTCTTCACGCCACACATTGGAGTTTGTTGATGTCATCGAGAGGGTCCTGGAAAATAGACTCAATCCCAACATCAAGGTCCAAAACCCAACCTCCTCACTCGCCCTGCCTCAAACTGATTGCCACCCAACATTGCCCTTTACCAAAACACCAAAAGCAATGTTTAAAAGCCGCTTCTGAGACCTCTTCACACAGCACCCAACTCATTCTCCATCTCTCTCACTACCCTTCTGGTCAACACCTGCTCTGCATATTTATATTCTGGATATACTGGATGTATATATAAATTATCAGCTTGTTTAGTTTTTATAATTATGCCCATGCCCTTGTTATTTTAATTGATTGTCTACCCATGACACAATTATTTAATTTTATTTGTGAATAAAAAAAAAAAATCAATTCTGCACAGCTTTCTGTCTACACCAAAGTTCAACAATATAGAGTTGGGAGGAAAATGATTTTGCAAATAAGTTATAAATGTAATTTTAGACTTGTAAAAAATGTTGGCTTGACCATTATTTTGCTATCTATTGTCATGTAAGGTAACAGTAGGTTAGTAGTACCACTGATGAAATGTTGGTTGTCCAGTAACTACTGTATTTATCACCACCTTTCACCCCACTGGCGATGGCCCTGGATTCTAGCAATATTATAATTGCAGATCAATAGGAAAGGTAGACTAGCCTGGTAATAACAAACTCTGCTACTTCGCTTTCTTCAAATGTGACCGTGTCTGCTAGATCTCTGAAAACGTAAATACCAGCAGAGATGTCTCCTGGCAGTTGGTGGTCTTGCAGAAACCTATGAACAAGTCGTTTCATTCTTTCCTGGCACAAGTTAGGGTCTGAGAACATGTTTGTTGGGTCCAAACATGCTGGTGGAAATTTTCTTGACTCAAAGTTGTCCTAAGGGCAGAAACTTTTGAGATTGCTTCAATCTGACAACCAATCGCAAGAGAGGAGAGAATTGCAGAGGCGAGGCCACCATTTCCAATCTCAACCGTCGAAATTCCACCGGTGCGCAGAAAGAGGAACTGGTTATTATTTCAAAGGAAGTTTTTAAAAAAAAAAAAAAAAAACCTAATTCTCAAAAATGGAGCATTGTATGTGCACCTATGAGTGAATTTTTTATTTTTTTTTCCTGCCTTCATCATAGTATATCATAAGCCGCGTTTCCACCGCAATTACCAGGAACTATTTGTCCCAGGAACTTTTTTTTCCCCCAGACCGCTTGCTTACTGTGTTTACACCGCGTACTAAAGTACCGGTCCGGGGCGGGAAGATTATGTAGTGACGTTGAACTGCGTGCGACTGCTCTTCTTAGCCTGCGCCTTTGTTTTGAGTTTTGTATGAAGGAGATTCAAGCAACTAACAAGGTAATTAACAAAACGGCAGAAAAGAGACGACCACCCAAAGCGTATTCAGAAAGCTCGTAATGCTAGATATAAAAGTAGACGTTTGTTATCAGCGGACATTGACCTTGAGATGGATGGGACGAACATGCACCATCTGGCAGAAAGAATATCGTGGTGAGAACCAGCATGTTTAGCACAAAAGTCCCACCCCGAAAGTTCCTGAACTCTGAAAAAGTACCACCTCACCAGCAGGGACTTTCTGAGGGGGGGAGAATTTTTACCCGGAACTTCATTTAGACCCTGGTTCCTGTGGTGTAAACACACCGAGTACCACCCCAAAGTTCCTAGTTCCTGGGGAAAGTTCCTGCGGTGGAAACGCGGCTATATTGTAATGGTGCAGCTTGTAGCTTAAGGGTAGGCTAGCCTACTGTTTCAGAAGCAAGCTAGTGTTGTAGCTTGCATTAAAGGGGCCATTTACACCTGGTTACTTAATGCGTTTTCTGTGATCGGATAGCTATCCGATCGCGAAAAGACCAGCTGTAAATGCCCCCCGAAACGCATTTGAGACGGATTTGAATCCGATCGCTCAAACCACATTGCGAGGTGGTCTGGGCTAGCCTGACTACGTCAGACTTCCTACTTCCGCTAATTTCATTTCGCTCCTGTAGTCAGTCTGAGATAGCGGCCTATCTTTCAGTTTTCCACCGGCCTGAAAACCAGAGAGCCGTTCGCTGAGAGCCGTGACGTAGCCGCTAAGCGCCGAGGAGTACATTGTAGGTTAGAGAAATCGAAAACCGAATACCGAAACAACCGCAGAAATTGGAAACAAGACACGGGATGCAATTCGCTCTGTTATGGAGAACATTCAGGGGTTTTTCAAACTGAAGCAAAAGTCGTTTACAGCCATATTCACTCCAGTATTTCACTCGCATCATCAGTGTTTACAGCTAGGACCTTCCTCCGCCTTGCCGGGACCTTAATAACGGAGAACGAACGGCGGCGTTTAAAGATTATGCTTGAGTTCTGTACAGAGAAACAGAAGAAGAAGGCTCCAGCGTAATATGATATTAAGTAATATGATGGAAGAAGGTAAAAGAGCCGAGCGCAGGAGGCAAACAAAACGACGGGTAAGTTTAGCTAGCATTAGCAATTAGCTGGTTGAATGCTTTGTTTGTCTTAATCCTTAGTTGTAATGTTTTGCAAAAACACACCACGTATGGCAGACAGCGCGCTACAAGTTCCGTGTTGACAGTGGGCATGACTTATAAGTTCAACCAATCAACGTAGACCTAGGAAAAGGGAACTAAAAAAGTCCTCGCTCTAGACTAGGTACTGGAAGAGTTACAGGAACTACGGTCTGAGGAACTAAAAAATCCCCAATTTAGTCCGGTCGGCACACGAGAAAAAAGGGTTATAGGAACGTTAAGTTCTAGGAACTGCAAAAGTCCCTCCGGTCGGAAAGCGGCTAAACACACAAATAATATAGCAGCATGTTATTGGACAATCCAACTCTAGACACTCATTCATACACAGCACACACACTGTCTTAATACTTTTAAATCAAAGTTTTATGAAGTTTTGGAAAATATATAGACTACTTGCAATAATCGCACAAGCAAAAGCAGTGTTTTACCTATATGAAATGTAAATTATACCAGCAGTGTACAAATGTAAGTACACAGGTCCCGTAATTCAGTAAAAGCATTGATCTCCAAGAAAAATGTATGTACTCACAATTACAAATAAAGAAACTTGCTTTAAAACGTTGATGCTTTGATATATTCTCAGTCCAAAACCAAGGCTTTCCATACATTCTTATGATTTAACTTGACATGGCAAATTATTTGGCAAATTACGTTTTTTCACCCTTGTGTTGTGTTCACAAAAAACACTTTGATAACATTATTGTTTTTGCTTTTTCCAAAGTTTTAAATTGTTTTTTTTTTCTTTTACACATTTTCAGTGTTTATTTCTACGTCCCATATTTTCTGATATAAAACAAAAATTGAAAACGGGTCAATTTAACCCGAAGTCAACACAAGGGTTAATCACATCTATATTGTGCAAAGTGGTTTATTCGGTAAACAATCTAAGACTGTTTCTTTGTCAAGGCTACTCAAGCTGATACCACCTTAAAATTGACATGCTTTATTTACTTCTGGAGGCTGTGGAGTTTCTCTGCCTCGACCAGGCCCGCATCAATTAAAGAAAATGCACCCTTCAAAATTTCTGGCCCAAGGCCATGCGTAGTGAGGTTGTAATAGGACCTGTTGGCCTCCATCGCTGTCTTTATCCTTGTTAGTGTCTGCCTGAAAAAAAATGTGTTGAAAACAGATATTATTGACCAACATGACATCATGACTTTTGCGTAAACATATACGCCACTTTCGAGTCAGGTGGCGTGTTCTCTCCACGCATTTTGAGCTACGCGCGTGTATCTGCGTGTATGCGTATATGTCTACGCCATTAACGTCCGCGTGTCTGGACACGCAGTCAAATCTCCAGTCATAAATGCCATTAACCCCAGTGACGGTTAAGTTTAGGGATGGGGTTGAGGTAAGTCATATCTTTTTTTTACCTAGGATGGTAAGGGAACAGTCATAAATGCCATTAACCACAGTGACGGTTAGGTTTAGGGACGGGGTTGAGGTAAGTCATATATTTATATAACGTTAAGTCAACGGCGTTCATAAACACGCTGAAAGGCGATTATGCGTCTTGATAGCACGCCAAAAATGGAAATACGAATTGGCGTGTCATACACACGCTACTTCATGAGATCAGTCTGTATTGACATAAAGAACAGTGGTAGAGGTGTTGTAATACAATACTGCATATGTAGATCTAAGCCTTTTTAGTCTTGCATACTGGCATTGGTAACAACAGATCATTGAACCTGCAGTGTTGGGCCTTGACTATGGCCTCAAGATGTTGGTCCTCCTCCAGGCAAGCCCATGAAACCCATGTAATTTACATCCTCTGCAAGGGCCAGACATTCTTCTACAAATACACAGTGCAAGAGAATACAAAATTATATTTTTTGTCAAACTAAGAATGGAGTATAGACTGTTAAGGACAAACGAGATTCAGTCATTCCAAAAACGTTTGGTTTGATGAGTCCGCCTAGTTGATAAGATCTATGAAAATTTCATAATTACAGCCTAATGTTACTTGGGGAAGAAAAAAGTCAGTAAGACAAAGGCAAGGTGGATTCTTCCCAAGCCTACACATCTCCGCATTGTCATCTTCATTTAAGGGATTAAAGTGAAAAAAATTCTTCTGACTGAAATTTTTATCAGGCCAAGTCATATTCTTTTTCAATCATAGTCAATTCAAGTCAATTCATTCATATTCTCAAAACTTTATTTAAATAGTCCCAATAGCATTTTAAGGGGAGATGTTTTAAACGAATTAACCGTAAAAAAAAGAAAAAGTAACAGCACCACCATTAAAGTGCTATTTTGTGCAAATGTATCTAAAGTGCTTTTCACTTTTTCTGCCTTTTGGCTGTGAGACCATATTCATGAAGCTTGGCTACACCTGACACCCGTTTCAGTGTTTGACTAGCTACATGTGCAGGAGTTGCTCCTGGAGAGGTGGAGGCTGTAGCAGCTGTTTTGCCTTTAACTCCAGAGGTGGAGGCTGTAACAGCAGTGCATTTAACTCCAGGGGTGGAGGAGGTGAAGGCTGTAACAGCAGTACGTTTAACTCCAGGGGTGGAGGAGGTGGAGGCTGTAGCAGCAATGCCTTTAACTCCAGTGGTGGAGAAGGTGAAGGCTGTAGCAGCAGTGCATTTAACTCCAGGGGTGGAGGAGGTGGAGGCTGTAACAGCAGTGCATTTAACACCAGGGGTGGAGGAGGTGGAGGCTGTAGCAGCAGTACGTTTAACTCCAGGGGTGAAGGAGGTGGAGGCTGTAGCAGCAATGCCTTTAACACCAGTGGTGAAGGAGGTAAAGGCTGTAGCAGCAGTGCATTTAATTCCAGGGGTGAAGGAGGTGGAGGCTGTAGCAGCAGTGCCTTTAACTCCAGTGGTGAAGGAGGTGGAGGCTGTAGTAGCAATGCGTTTAAGTCCAGGGTGGAGGAGGTAAAGGCTGTAGCAGCAGTGCATTTAAGTCCAGAGGTGGAGGAGGTGGAGGCTGGAGCAGCAGTGCGTTTAACTCCAGAGGTGGAGGAGGTGGAGGCTGTAGCAGCAGTGCATTTAAGTCCAGAGGTGGAGGAGGTAAAGGCTGTAGCAGCAGTGCATTTAAGTCCAGGGGTGAAGGAGGTGGAGGCTGTAGCAGCAGTGCATTTAAGTCCAGAGGTGGAGGAGGTAAAGGCTGTAGCAGCAGTGCATTTAAGTCCAGAGGTGGAGGAGGTGGAGGCTGTAGCAGCAGTGCGTTTAACTCCAGAGGTGGAGGAGGTGAAGGCTGTAGCAGCAGTGCATTTAACTCCAGTGGTGGAGAAGGTGAAGGCTGTAGCAGCAGTACGTTTAACTCCAGGGGTGGAGGAGGTAAAGGCTGTAGCAGCAGTGCATTTAAGTCCAGGGGTGAAGGAGGTGGAGGCTGTAGCAGCAGTGCGTTTAACTCCAGAGGTGGAGGAGGTAAAGACTGTAGCAGCAGTGCGTTTAACTCCAGAGGTGGAGGAGGTGGAGGCTGTAGCAGCAGTGCATTTAAGTCCAGAGGTGGAGGAGGTGGAGGCTGTAGCAGCAGTGCGTTTAACTCCAGAGGTGGAGGAGGTGAAGGCTGTAGCAGCAGTGCATTTAACTCCAGTGGTGGAGAAGGTGAAGGCTGTAGCAGCAGTACGTTTAACTCCAGGGGTGGAGGAGGTGGAGGCTGTAACAGCAGTGCATTTAACTCCAGGGGTGGAGGAGGTGGAGGCTGTAGTAGCGATGCGTTTAACTCCAGGGGTGGAGGAGGTGGAGGCTGTAGCAGCAGTACGTTTAACTCCAGGGGTGGAGGAGGTGGAGGCTGTAGCAGCAGTACGTTTAACTCCAGGGGTGGAGGAGGTGGAGGCTGTAGCAGCAGTGCGTTTAACTCCAGAGGTGGAGGAGGTGAAGGCTCTAGCAGCAGTGCATTTAACTCCAGTGGTGGAGAAGGTGAAGGCTGTAGCAGCAGTACGTTTAACTCCAGGGGTGGAGGAGGTGGAGGCTGTAACAGCAGTGCATTTAACTCCAGGGGTGGAGGAGGTGGAGGCTGTAGTAGCGATGCGTTTAACTCCAGGGGTGGAGGAGGTGGAGGCTGTAGCAGCAGTACGTTTAACTCCAGGGGTGGAGGAGGTGGAGGCTGTAGCAGCAGTATGTTTAACTCCAGGGGTGAAGGAGGTGGAGGCTGTAGCAGCAGTACGTTTAACTCCAGGGGTGGAGGAGGTGGAGGCTGTAGCAGCAGTGTGTTTAACTCCAGGGGTGGAGGAGGTGAAGGCTGTAGCAGCAGTACGTTTAACTCCAGGGGTGAAGGAGGTGGAGGCTGTAGCAGCAGTATGTTTAACTCCAGGGGTGAAGGAGGTGGAGGCTGTAGCAGCAGTACGTTTAACTCCAGGGGTGGAGGAGGTGGAGGCTGTAGCAGCAGTGTGTTTAACTCCAGGGGTGGAGGAGGTGAAGGCTGTAGCAGCAGTACGTTTAACTCCAGGGGTGAAGGAGGTGGAGGCTGTAGCAGCAATGCCTTTAACTCCAGTGGTGGAGAAGGTGAAGGCTGTAGCAGCAGTGCATTTAACTCCAGGGGTGGAGGAGGTAAAGGCTGTAGCAGCAGTGCATTTAATTCCAGGGGTGAAGGAGGTGGAGGCTGTAGCAGCAGTGCCTTTAACTCCAGTGGTGAAGGAGGTGGAGGCTGTAGTAGCAATGCGTTTAAGTCCAGGGTGGAGGAAGTGGAGGCTGCAGCAGCAGTGCATTTAAGTCCAGAGCTGGAGGAGGTAAAGGCTGTAGCAGCAGTGCATTTAAGTCCAGAGGTGGAGGAGGTGGAGGCTGTAGCAGCAGTGCATTTAAGTCCAGAGGTGGAGGAGGTAAAGGCTGTAGCAGCAGTGCATTTAAGTCCAGGGGTGGAGGAGGTAAAGCCTGTAGCAGCAGTGCATTTAAGTCCAGGGGTGAAGGAGGTGGAGGCTGTAGCAGCAGTGCATTTAAGTCCAGAGGTGGAGGAGGTAAAGGCTGTAGCAGCAGTGCATTTAAGTCCAGAGGTGGAGGAGGTAAAGGCTGTAGCAGCAGTGCATTTAAGTCCAGAGGTGGAGGAGGTAAAGGCTGTAGCAGCAGTGCATTTAAGTCCAGGGGTGGAGGAGGTAAAGGCTGTAGCAGCAGTGCATTTAAGTCCAGGGGTGAAGGAGGTGGAGGCTGTAGCAGCAGTGCATTTAAGTCCAGAGGTGGAGGAGGTAAAGGCTGTAGCAGCAGTGCATTTAAGTCCAGGGGTGAAGGAGGTGGAGGCTGTAGCAG